GACAAAACCAATAATTACAGTTGGAGAAATTGGATCTTTATTTGAAGTGAAAATAGCTTAACAAATGAAAAGTTCAGTAACGCGTTTGTACACCCTCTGGCCCTTATCAACAGTTTCGGCTTGCTTGATATAGATTTGCGGATGTCTTCCTGAGGAATCGTGCCAAATTCTGTCCAATGGCGCGTTAGATCGTCAACAGCCCGAGCTGTTTGGGGGGCCTGCCCATAATGCTCGAACGTGGCTAAATAGGAGGAGATCCATGAGCTTGCTGGCAAGGTATGTTCGGCAAGGCTAAAGCAAGCAGTAGAAACATGTGCAGTGTGGAGCGGTGCATTATCTTGCTGAAATCTAACCCGGGGGCGTGAACTGAAGGGCAACAAACGGGCTTATAACTTCGTTGACGTCCCGCTGTGCTGTAAGGTTCACGAGATGATCACCAAGATCCTACTATGAATGAAATGTCACTCAGACATCACTCTGGGTGTCGGCCTTTCTGCCGGAGCCAGTCGGGTTGGATCACCCCGCTGTCCGGGGTGTCCCAGATCGCTTCCGCTGGTCATCGGGGCTCATTTTAAAACGGGACTCTCACTGAAAAGTCTAACTTCTAACTCCATCTTGCTTCCAGTGCGAATGAGACCTACTGCAAACGGGCTTAACTTGTACATGTCAATGTATTCGGGTTCAGGGGCGCGTGATCTTCCCCGTTCTGTGAGCCGGCTCGATGGTCCTGCGTCCCTGAAGCACTATTTGCACGTACACTCGATGATAATGAATGCATCTGGGGGCGGTGAGTCGTCTGACTATTGCTCGGTCTTCACATGCTGTCGTTTCTCTAGGCCTACGCTCTTCCGTCTGACCGCTGTGTGCGGCATGGTTTCCCCATTCCAGCCAACATCGTCTAAGTGGCATTGCTCCTGCTCAAAGTGTCGATCTATTCGCCGATAAACCAACCGACTTCTTTGAGCCCCTCTAACACACCACTCTCAAATTCTGACATCTGCGCATTGGTTCTCGCACCTGTATGGGAAGGCTAATCCTGTCTACCGAGTACAACGGAATTGATTCGTAAAGAATTTACCCTGAATCATAATTTCTCCTCTTATATCCTGCCAGTTGCGCAGATCAGATGCGCTGTAGCAACAACCATACATTCATTGGTAGCCAAAATGTAAAATTTTGCATTTTCCGTCGAAACCTGTATGCATATCAATTTGTGCCCAATTTGCTTTATATCTTCACGGTGCGTTTTTTTTTTTTTTTTTTTTTTTTTTTTTTTTTGTCTAAGAGTGTATGTTTGAAATATGAAAATGTTTCGCTGTTCTACCTGAGCCATTCCTGTTGATAATATCTCCTAATTAACCACACTAAACTAAAATAGCACTTTTAATTTCTTTCAGATTTATTATTATTATTTTAATTATTTTCATGCGAGTACTTTCCGTTTTCTTTTTTAAGGGTAATCAAGGTTATTCTTTAAGTTGCAAGGAACTGGCAGCAATTTATTTTTCAGCATTTGGAATGAATAAAAATCGATATGTTCATTAAAAAAAGTGTTAATGATTGTCTAATATCACTTTAAAATTTGTATAAATACGGTACAGAAAAATAAATAGAACAACTGACAAAGGAAGAGCACGTAAAGAAGTTCTTGGATAAAAGTAAAAGTAACGCAAAGTAAAGTACGTAACATAAATAATGGAAGAAATTATGTGAAATAAAAATTCGTATAAGAATCGAATTTAACTGAATGTGAGATAAAAAAATGCAACTGGTGAGTTTTAAATTAATTGCAGTTAAACGTTTTTAAATGTCTGAAAGAGAGTACTCGAATTTTTAATTCTTATTCATACAAGCATAATATCCATCCATCCACTGAAGGATGAAAAATTCAAACATGAATTTCATTATACACTTCAAACATTTCAAAGAGACTATGGTAAAAATTCAGAATTCTACACCTGGTTGAGAAATTGTCAATAATATCCTAAAATGGGATTATCTTAACTTTTATAAGGCGTAAAAAATTCTAAAATATTTCTTAAAATTTATCAAAATTTTTGGAATGCTAAATGACAGATATAGTGTTATCTTGCAATGAAGCTCACTGTTATATGTTAGATATTTTATTTAATCAATGTATTATGTCTCATAACATTGCTATTTCTTGTTTATTACCTAACTGTGGAAATGCTTTACTATTTAATTAAGAAGTAAAAATTTTCAGTTTGTCCTTTTCTATCGATTCTTTCCTTTCAAATCACTTTTTAGCTTCAGATGTATGCACATTAATAACTTAAGTGTCCCCTTCGTGTCCTAGTAGTTGCCTCAACGCGACGAAAGGCTTGACAATCGGCGGAATGGGCCAAGTACGTCGGGAGTTTCTCCTGGTAGGGCCACCTTAACCCCTTCGAGCCGGGTAGCGAAAACGCGCGCATATCGCGGAGGACGGCAGTGTCTTCCCCGAGCGTCTCTCCAGGCCCGGGGGCTTTTTTGCTACTAAGCCTAAATCCATGAGAAATTTCCGAAGTATCAACGCATTGATTAATAATGCTGTATAGAGTATTTAAACGGCTTATGCTTTATAGATATTTATATATATATACTTTAATTACCTTATTTCTTGTTTAAATGCATATTTTACACATTTTATTTTAATTACTCACCATTTTATGACTTTTAACATTATATATCTGAAAACTAAATATATTACTTAAAATTCTCTTTTCGTATGAAAAATTTTAAAACAGGGATCTACACACAGTCCTACGTTACATTCCTTGAACTCGTAATAACTCATTTGCCGTTTTGGAGGATTTTTCCGGGAATGTGAACAAACGAAGCACCGTCGTCTCATTTTCTTATCAGTCTCTTCTGAACAAAGTTTTGGAAAATGTCTTTCAGTTAATCTTTCAGAATCAATATCAGAATATCAGAATTTCAGAATCAATATCTGAAATATTTTGCATCATTTCTGCTATTTCATGCTCTGTTAAACATTTTCGACGCTTCGACATTGAAACGGTAAAAACAGAAAGAATTCACGTCTAACAAGATCTAATTATTTTCTAAAAACTGAACTGTAAACCGAAATACTCAACGCTTTAGCGCATATAAAACTTCTACTTACAATAAACAACTACCACGTGCGAATAAAGTGCAATTTAAAGAGACGTCATAAATCACGCCATTCGGAAACATTTAGTTCCCCGTTTGTTTATATAATAAAAAACACGTGTACGTGAGTCATGCTTCTCTCATTTCGAGTAGAATGTCTAATGTACATGTATCTGAAACCATATGGACATACAGTGCCATCTTGTGGCATAAATTATAGTTTGAAAAACGTTCCAAGGTACTGGCACAAATACGTGACATTCGGTAGAAAACGCAACTTTTCTCTGGCACGCCTGCGTGTCGGCCGGTAGATAAGTGCGTTCGTTGCTGGCACGTATACGTGACAGTCGGCGCGAAGGGGTTAAGCGTGAAAGCCATTCCTCTTATCCCAGCTAAGTCGGAGTAAGCGAAGTCTGAGTAAAATCAGTCTTCTACCTTTTGGTGCTCCAGGTCTCTTGACGAACACAAGCTGTACCACTCTCCTTTTTCCATGAACCAGACGTCCAATATTTTCGCAGGCAGCCGGGAGGTACTATTGCTTTTACTGGAGTCGTACTCAGCAGTTTGGCAGCAGTCGTACACGTGCTGGAGCGTACCTACTTTGACGAGGCTCCTAAAAGGACACATGAGATGCCTTAAATTTGACAGAAGAAATAATATCTACCCTATCTATGGGAAACGTGTACTGATACTTCTGAAGATCTTATCTATTTAGTACTTGTAAAAGAGGACCTATTTAAAAGACTTACTTTCGTTTTTGATTTATTGACGGTTCTTGGACCTATAGATTTGGTCTAGTTTAAAGGCTAACTAGTTAGGATCAGTAACAACAACAAAGTAACTTGTGTGTTGGAATAAATGTGTGGGAACGCCCCATAGTTATGTAAATGCTGAATTGCTCTTGCTTGTTGTAACAATCTCTTTTTTTGTTTTCTTTCACTTTCTAGTATTTATGCTAATGGTGTATAGTTAGTGTTCTATAGATTAAGCTTCAGGCTAGATCATTTGGCTTGAACAGGTACTTTCGTGGTTAGTGAAAAAGAAAACTTGCTTTAAGAAAGTTTTAAGTAAGACACGTTAAATTAGATATTTTCCTCTAGAGTTAGACTGTAAAAACTACCTGCGTAGGAAATAGTTAGTTTGTCTTCCTTTAATAGTCTGCAAGGTTAATAACATTTTAATTTACATTCTTTGGTCCAAGTTTCATGTTAGTAAATTTTAATCTGTGATTTGAGATTTTTCTGTCTAAGTATCAAAGTTGAATTCAGTCTGTCAATTAAATAACTGAAGATATAATTCGCCAAAGATGTCCAGAGGTAACGTTAAGAAAGTATATTTTTATAAATGCATGCAGTAAACTTTTGAACAACTTTACTATGAAAGTGTTCATACATTTTGAGACACAGAGGTTGATAAATTTTCAATAAGTTTAAATATTATCCAGGAAAAGGGACTTTAGTTAGTATTCTTCTTACCCACCCATGGTTTTCAAACAAAATAAGGCATTTCTAAGGAAATTCAATTAGTAATTCATCCACTAGTTAATTTAGAAGTTATTCGATAATCGAATTAATTAAAAAATTTATTTTGATGGCGATAATATTAATTATTTTTTAAGTAATTATTATTGAAAAATTGATATTTTTTATAAGATAAGGAACTTATTAGAAAAGAAAAGCAACCTCATCGATGATAGCTATTCAATAAATACAGTGGTTTGAATACAGTATATTTCAGTTTTGGGTCTGGATTTCCGTGAAAGGTAATAAAAGAATAGTTATTTTTCGTTCTGATTAAAAGTTGTTCCACCTGAAAACAGTTTATCATCCTGATATTGACATGGAATATTTTTTCTAAATCATACCCAATTAATCAGAAGATATAAATGAATTTGTTATTTATTATATGAAGTACAAAAAAGTTACAGTACAAATGAGAAATCACAGTATTTTTCACATTCAAAGTTACCAGTCCAGCAGACTCTGCTTTACGTCTTGAAGTTTTGGGCTGTTTGCAGAGTAGAACTGGGAGTACCAGCGACGATATTTGCGAATGAATGTATCTTCTTTCAAGATGATTGGATACTTCAGGAATTTTTTGTTGTTCCAAATCTCAATGTCTCGTTCAAGCTAATAAAAACATAGAAATTTGAAGAATTGCTTACAATATTTCAGCATCTTACAAACTGATTATACATGAAGTACTGTACAGAAAATTTGAAATGTGAAGTATTTTTAAGTATAAAGTTTACTAAAAGAAGAATTTATAAGATAAAATGACGTTATCACAAAAAATAAGTGAAAAAGTTAAATATTATTGCAATATTTACCTGTTATTAATTACAATATTTAGCTAGCACTTAATTATTATTAACAATTAAAATTATGTATATTAATACGTGACCAAAATTATAAATCTATTATATGTTGAATAAGCAAAATAAAAAAGATACCTCATCAACAATATATCAATTCTGCTTTAGCGCTAATAACAACATGCGCATGCTAAGACCTCAAATCCACTAACTGCTGGATGTTTGTGGCGGATGTATTTTTAGCAACATTGTCCGCAAATGTAAGCTAGTAAATTCAAAATTACGTAATATCTTCCATAAAATGTTTCTAAGCACCTCTGATAACCTCATATTCTATTTTTAACGCACTCTATTTGCATAATCTTCTCTAACTTTAGTTCACTTGTTGTCCCACTCCCAGCGCCTAGTACAGGAATGGGCAAAAAATTTTAAAAACAATATGCAAGTATTACAATATAAATCTGTTAATGAGATGAATGAAATTGCGATTTCATTTTTCAAAGTTCCTTATATTGAAGTATCGATCCTTGTATCGAACTGAGATGCACTGATTCTAAGGAAGGAGGCCAAATGATCATCTGTCAGTCTAGATCTGAAATAATTCTTTCTAAAGTTCATAGTTGAAAACACTTGTTCACATATATAAGATGAAGCAAACGTAGCACTGATTTTCTGGGCGTGAGATATTAAATTTGGGAAACTTAGTTTTAATAATGATTTCTTAAACTCTATCATTAGCATATTTAAAAACAACTACTGGAGATGATTGTTAGATTGCAAATCAATTAATTCAAGCTACAAATATGACCTCACTGTTTCACAACTTACGTTGAAAGGCATGGTAAAAATATCCAATTCTGTTTGAATGGCACTGAAATCTTGAAATCTGCGTTCAAACTCAAAATACAGTTTTTTCAAGCCATCTTCATAATTCTTAAGCTTCTCTTCATTTACTGAGGGTACTGAATTTAACATCGGGAAATTAGGCAAGTTGTTCTTAGCTAGCTGCTCAGCAAACAGATTTAGTTTAAAAGCTTTGAAATGGGCCCGGATATCGTCGATGAACGGATTTTTTCCTTGCTCATTCAAGTTGCTCATATGACAAAGAGGATCGGTGAAAAATGCAAAGTCCGAAAGGTTTGGTTTTGGTTTTATTAGATTACGGCAAAGCACTCGAGGGCTATCTGCCATAAGGGAGGGATGTCTTCGTGGAGGACTTTCTAAGGGGAACTGGCTCGTATACACGTTACATATGGGGAAAACCACGAAAACGCCCATGCAGCCAGCCCGTTCGCGGGATTCGAACCTCGAACCGAACCTCGAACAGTCTTCAGCGACGTTACCGCTCGGCCGCTGGTGGTCCCCAAAGTCCGAAAGGCTTTCTGTGTCTGCTAACATTTCACACTCCGCAGAATACCGTTTCTCATGGAAGAACGACACGATGTCGTCTTTCAGCTGCCAAACTCGCTCCAAAACACATCCTGCACTAAGCCACCTTACTTTCGTGTAATACAATACATCAGAGTATTCAGATTGCACGGACTGAAGAAAATATGGAAATTGCCTGTGAGTAAGCCCACGAGATCGAATAGTATTTATAAGCTTCATGACTGCATGAAGCAAGGGTTTCATATTCAATGCAGATTTACACAGATCGTATTGATGTATAGCACAATGTAGAAAACAACATTGTTCCTGGGGCAGTTTTGATTAAGAGTGCAAGAAACCCGATTTTTCCTCTGTCATATTAGGTGCTCCATCGGTCCTAATATTACATATATTTGTTATAGGCACTTTCAAAGTTAAAAGCCCTTCTTGAAATTCCCGAAAAATATCACACCCCGTTGCAATATTGTATGCTACAATGTAACTTGCATGTGTAGATTCTTCTTGGACATTGTTTACCTTCATGCAAAAATTTTGTCGGTCTGATAATTTTTACAAAGACTTTCTGCATCTTGTTTTCTTTCACATTCGAACATTGCTTCGTAATTGAAATTCTTATGCTTAGACGTGAAATGTCTTTGATGACTGCTACAGCTTCAATGCAGATGAGACACACTGGTTTATCTTTTACAAGTGTAAAAAAACATTTTCAGGTGCATTCATCATTAAAAGCACGGCACTCTGAATGAACTTTACTTTTTTTAGTAGCCATTTTGGGGTTGAAATATTTTACGAATAACCCAATCATAATGATGCTATATGTCCGCAATCTTTCCATACGCAGTCAATAATATAAGAACTCGCGCCAAAAGAAAAAACCGCTGGCTGGAGCTTAAAATAAAATACGCAGTTTACCACATATGATAGCTAATTCACCCATATTGGATTCCCATATGTCTGCTCCCCGAGAAAGAGATAACGCTTGTTGGCGCCAGTCTACAGCTATAACTAGCAAAGAAGTTCCGCTTTTAACACTTTACCGATTAAAAGCTGTCTGTGCTTGCTATTTCCATCGATTTATGTCTTGTAGAACAAAAGTAGAGAAAAAAGTCCATTAAAAAAAAGAACGAAAAAAAAATAATATTTAAACAAAGTAGAAAAGGAGACGGATACATATAAATATATATTTCTTTTAATTTGCCTCGAACCGGCAAATGAAAATTCTATCCGTGGGCCGGATAGAATCTTTCGGCGGGCCGTAGTTTGCCCATCCCAGGCCTAGCATAATAGTTCATATAGTATACTTGGAATATGCATGGCGTCGGATCGTCGATTTTTTTCGATTTTGGTGGATAGCTACAGCGGTATTTTTCATGTTTTAAAATGTGTGCATAAAGTGTTCCTGATCAAGTAGATACCAATTTTGTGAAATTCGACCTGCAAATTTCAAAGTTATGGTGATTTTGGATACTTAGTTGTGGTTTAGTGTTGCGAGATTCCAGCAATGGGGTCTTCGTTTTGTGAAGTTTTGGATCGTGTTTTGTGCCAAACAGGTGTAGAAATTATGTTCTACAGCTTCCGTGGATTGCATCGATTTGCGTCATATGTATTTTAGATAAGTATTTACTGATTTATCTTCAATTTTGTATTTGTTTACATTGTACTTTGTGTTCATAGACTGATATTAAGCTAGAGACTGTTTTCGAATTAATTATGGTCCTTTTGGTGAAATTAATTGCAATTTTCTTTTAAATATTAATGTTTTTATGATTTTATGACTTACAAAAAATTTTTGGACAGTTTTATCACAATTAGGATAATTAATTAAGATTTTTATACTATGGTACAAAAAGGACGCTATCTTACACCACTGTTCTTCGAAATTCTTAAGAGTCTGTAACCGGAAGTTGCCATACGCATAGAAAATATGTTCTAAATTTATATGTTGTTACTGATTATAATCTCTAGAGAAGTAATGTTTTTGAACTTGTCAAACTTACGTTCTGAGACTGTGGTTCTTTCCTGGAAAACTCCATAGACTATATGTTAAATTCATGCTTATATTACTACTTGAAGTCAAGTGATAATTGTTTTAATTTCTGTGCTATAATGTTCCTTGGGGTCCTTTTTGTTAATTTAATAATTCAAATCGTACTTAATTTTAATTAGTCTTTTGTTAATTAATGATTTTTGTTTAATTGGTTCTTTTCTGCTTACCGATTTGTTTTTCATAGTGTTTTTATTTCTGTTTCACTTTTAAGTCATATGTTTAAGGGTTTTATGATTATATAGTAACTCCCTCTGCAGAAAAGCCCATTTTATAGAATTATAATAAAATGTCTCATTCTAATGTTACGCTTTCTCCGGCACATTCAGTTTCTTCAGTCTTTGAATCTTCTCCTGGCTCTGTACAAGATTTGGCTCCAGAAAAGGTAACTGGGAACCATCTATCATTTATTAATGAATCCTATGACGGTATCTTAGCATTTTTAGTTGATGCTAATGCAAAACATAAACAAAACTAATGCAAAACATAAATTAAATAATAAAGATGCAGAGAAACTTAAAAAGTTTGTAAGCAATATCAGATCACATTCAAACAAACGTGAATTATACATAGCTCACCTGGAAGGTTTTAACGCCTGCTTGAAGGAAAGAGTCTCTTCATTGGAGGAAAAGAATTCTTTGTTGGAAAAAAGACTTTTGGAACTTGAGTTAAAATTTAATCAGTTAACACAGCTTGACCAAGCCACTGTCTTACCACATTCGGAAATAGCGTCCTGATTTACAGGCTTGTCATTCACATAGTTTAGACGGTAAATTTGATAAAGTGAATTCGGAGTTATCTTCTGCAGAAATTGTTAGGCTCACTTCGAAGCCTTCACAGGTAAGGAAGATTCCAGCTCAACAGGATCACGTTTTGATTATCAAGGCTAAAGATACAAGTAGATCGCCAAACAGTATTAAGACGCAATTAGTTCAGAATATTAAACCGCAAAGGCTCGGAGTAAATATTTTACAAGTTCGTCCAACAAGAGCCAAAGAGTTACTTGTTCGTTGTAAAGGGGAAGAGCAATTGGTGACATTGAAAAAAGCCATTTTGGAAAACTCGGATTTGAAGGAACATTTGGACCTGAGAATTCCAAGACTACCAAGAGTGTCTTTCATAGTTTTTGGGGTTCCTCAGGATACTACTTCTGAGGAACTACAAATTGCTTTTCAAGAACTCTTATCATCAGGTGAGAAGAATTTTGTTTTTCCAAGGGAACCCAGATCCAGAACAGACGGTACGTGCAACTGGCTTGTTGAGGTGTCTAGAGAACAGGCACAATTGTTGAAGGACCTGAAGAGAGTCTATATTGGTTTCGCATCGTGCTTCTTTCGAGAATTTCATAAAGTGACGCGTTGTTATCACTGTCAAGCCTTTGG